GCCTGTGACATCTGTCTGCGTCGTGCATGCAGTGACTGCGACTGCAAGAATTGTATGAGGTGTTTCCACAGGCCACACCCAAATCACTCCTGCCCGGTCTGTAGAGGTGGCCACTTACCATAGGCACTTACCATAGGCAACGACTGCTCCTCAAATCCTTATGCAACCCATACACTGACTGGCCTCACATGCCATTCTAGAGTGGTCTGCCCCAGCAGTCACTATGTAGACCCCTGTCAGAACTCCGCCTCCCATTTCCTTCCTCCCTCCTCTTGTGTATTACTAGTAATACATACGGATGAGCATCATTACGAGAAGAGACAAAATATAAGTTGAAGATCTGAGAAGAAATGCACAGGGATATACCTCTGCCTTTGCTCTGCCTTCTTCCAATAGTGTGCAAGTGGGTCGTTATGGCACACGGGAATGTGGGCAGATCACACTCAACCACAATCAATGTGGCAAGCCTTGAACATGAGAGGCATGGAAATGCGAACACAATTAAGAAAGGGGATTATGTGCCTCTATTATACTCCATGTTGCTTGCTATAGAGGTGATACTGCTTGATTGTAGGATTATCTCAACTCGAGGACTTTCCTTGTCTGCAATAGGATTGAATCCCTACACTTAATAAAATCGCTAATGTGAGAATTTTGGCATCCAGGCCGTCCGCAGACCTACCGGCGCGACGGCCCGGATTGCCCCGCGATCTTAAGATTTTAAGATCGCGCGGCAATCCAGGCCGTTCACGGTCCTACTGGCCCGACGGCCCGGATTGCCCCGCGATCTTAAAACTCGGTTGCGCTGCGAACTTCTAATCTGGGCCGTTGGCCAACTGGTACCGGGCCGATGGCCCCGATTGCCCCACGATCTTAAAACTTTAAGATCGTGGGGCAATCGGGGCTGTCGGCCCGGTACCAGTCGGACAACGGCCCAAATTAAGTTCGCAGCACAACCGAAGTTAGGGTTGCCAGGCGTGGGGAGAAACTGGTTCCAGGAAAGGCCGGTCTCCTACAGGGTGCAGCGGTTCGGCGCCCGCGCATGTCTTCGGCGGCGCTCGGAGCTGGTGTATAGTGAATGAGACAACTCACTCACACGGCTGCCTGCCCGCCCACTTGAACAAGCACATGCACAAACACACGCACATGCACGCACGCAAACACACGCAAATGCATCATGGGCAGACTGTTGGGTTTCAACTCCTTATGAGTTGGTGAAAGTCCAACCGAAACACTCTCAGAGAGTCGTGCTTTTTTGGGGGGGTTCACACAAACACACGAACTGTGGGTGGGTGGGTGTGGGTGCGAGAGAGAGAGACACACACACACACACACACAGAGAGAAGGGGAGAGAGAGAGAGAGAGAGAGAGAGAGAGAGAGAGAGAGAGAGAGAGAGAGAGAGAGAGAGAGAGAGAGAGAGAGAGA